ATGTAACTAAAATTGCTATTATAAATATTTTAATGTTTCAAATATACCTGAAGCTGGAGAGAACGCGGTATCCCTTTCGATTTACATAATCTGCTGCATTTCGTGTGTAGGTGCTTCGATTCTGATATGCCCTGCCATCGATGGCACCAATTACGTTTGAAAACCTACTGTTTTCTTCAAAATTTACGCATTACAGTTTGCGCTTGTTCACCTGCGAAGGCCGAGATATAAATTGATCGGCCACTTTAAATAGTGCTCGTGTGACCCTCCTATAACGGCTCTCAAAGCTGTAGCTCTTCCTACTACGTCAAACCGATCGCAAATAGATGTGCAAAAATATAAAAAAACCATTGTTACAAGTAAATTTAAATGATTTAGGGTGTATATTAAGTGTCCGAAATAACAATATATGCGATAAAAGCAATAATCATACCTATAAGAATCCATTGTCGCTATTTTCCATAAGGCAATCATAAATTTTCTTTATTTTTATCAGCACTTTATTATCGCGTAATACTTGACGTAATAAAAATCAATATATACTAAAGATACAATACATATAAGAGATATATAAAAAATATATTTGATAAAAGATATAATATACACAAATATACCGTGTGGCTACAACTAAAATCTTAATTAATCTTAAACTCGAATCTTAATTAATAAATGTTCGTACAATGAGATCTCACAGCAGAAACGAAATTTATATCGTTTTGATACAAAAATATATATCTCTCTAATACTACTTATACACCATACGCAGTAATGCGGCTCGCGCGTGACTTAAACACGGTAAAAAGTATAAAATATCGTGCGCACGCTGCTGCGTATACGAGTGTCGCGAAACCGTGCGGAAACTGCGCGGGTCCGCGCTTATTGCTATGCCTTTCACACTTAAGAGCAGTCTATCGAACGAAAATAGATATTTAAATAATACCGACCACAAAAGTTAACGGAATTTAATTATTCCACGAATGAACTTATAACGATATCAAGTTATAATACATTTAAACGAATTAAAAATATAATTTGTCTCATTCTTTAAAAGTTGAAAATATCACAAATTCGTTAATATAGTCAAAGAATCAGAAAGATAATCTAAAAAGAGTCAATTCTCTTTCATAATAAAATTGAATAGATAATTTGTTTATTAATCTAACAAAAGATTACTACACCGCGTACAATGTATACGTACATTTTAGATTTAACTTGCTCAACACATTTGAAATATTTGAACGTATTCGTGATTACATTCAATTACATTGTATTATTTACCGCGCGTGCGATATATTACACGATTGTATGCGGCTGATATGCAATTTGTTTTCGGTTATTTAAAAAATGCGTTTATGCGTTTATGTGCCAAGGTAGCGAGCGTACAAAAATCCTCCAGGGATAAATGAAAGGAAAAAAAAAGAGTCAGAAACAAGGGGGCGGAGGAGAGAGAAAACAAACGAGTATAAAATTAAAAAATATTAAATATCTCTGCGCGTTAAAAAACACTAACGAACGTCGCTTAACGTGTTATTTGTACATTTTGTGCTTGATTCGACGGCGTGTCTATAAATTTGTAATAAAGAAAATGAAAAAAAAAAGAAAAAAAAATCGCAATACCGTAAGAAATAAAACACTCGTCTCTCGATCACGCTGAACAAACATCGCCCGCGTTGGACGAATCGCGAAATCTTATTCCGATACGTCTACCCTATAAAATTGTCGCAAAAATAAAAATCTACGTTCGTCGCTCTCTCTCTCTCT